CCTTCAATTTGCTGCATTCAGAGAAACTCACAACTCAATTTCAGTGCATTTCCATTTGCTGCATCAGAAATGTGAAACGTAAGCATAAAATCACAAGAACAAAGCTTAGCTTAAAACAAAAAGACAGAATTAAAATGGGGTATACCGCTAGTCGGCCGACTCTTCTTCGATGCCCCAGCTCCAGAGAGACACCTTGCTAAGGGAAGAGAGAGAGAGAGAAGAAGATAGAGGAGTGGCAGGGGCGGGGTAGCGGGAGTGGCGGCGGCGGCCGGAGAAGGGAAGAGAGAGAGAGAGAAGGGAAGAGAGAAAGAGAGAAGAGGGCCGGTGGCAATGGGCCGCGGCGGCGGAAAGGCGAAGAAGAGGCGGAGAGAGAGAGACTTAACAGGAGAGAGATAGAAAGCGTCGGGAGAAAATGAAGAGGAAGAAGATAGGGTATATTAGATCAGACATATTTGCGACGACTATGTCGTTGCAAATAAATGGAAAATGTCATCGCAAATAATCATTATTCCCGCGTTTAGTTTTTTGGTGAAATGTTGAAAAGATTATTTACGACGACAAAGAGAAAAAGTCGTCGCAAATAACATTAAATTATTTGCGACGACATAGTCGTCACAAATAAATGGAAAATGTCGTCGCAAATAATCATTTTTCCCGCGCTTGGTTTTTGGTGAAATCTTGAAAAGATTATTTGCGACGACAAAGAGAAAAAGTCGTCGCAAATAACATTAAATTATTTGTGACGACATAGTCGTCGCAAATAAATGGAAAATGTCGTCGCAAATAATGGATTACCTTGGCGGCAAAAATCCGCGCCATTAAAATTTGCGCTCCAAAATTATTTGTGATGACATTTAAGTTATTAGCGACGACATGACTATTTTTTTAAATGGGGAGTAATTACAACGACATGTCGTCGCAAATATTGTATTATTTGCGACGACAAATGTCGTCGCAAAAAATGTCGTCGCAAATGGCCTTTTTTGTTGTAGTGTTAGTTTATAAGGTTTATGAGAGAACCTTTTACCTCAATGTTAGCCTTCATTGCTCTTAAGTCACGCCCCCAAGCCTCTCTATATGGTGATCAAACCTCCTCCAAAGCTTTGAAATAGGAAGGATAGCTGCTGGTCTTGGGAGGAGGGAAGGAGAGGATTTTCTTCAAATTTTGGTGAGGTAGAAAGTGGACACTTAGGGTTTCTTCTTAAACCTTTTATAGTGGGGCTTTTGGCTAATTTTTGGGACCATTCTTGAGGGATTTTCCAGCAGAAAAACCGTTCCATATAGCTGGAACAAGGGTGTCCTTTCCAAGCATTTACTTGCTTGTATGATACTTGTACCACTTGTCCAAAAACTTGCCTAGTTTGCACAAAACATATTCTTCCTCACGTAAAGTACTTTGCACTCTTCTTATTTTTACTTAAAGTTTGAATTATGTTGACCAACGCCATGCAAAAAAAAAAAAACTGGTCATCTCTTGCATGTGGTCCCTACGAGTTATCTTTCCATTTCCTAGCCTTTAGATCACCTCCTCTCCATTCCTATAGCCATTGAATTTGAAGCATAGTGTGTGCACCATTGATCTTGTTTTCTCCTATTCGATCTTCATTCTTGATTCTAAGGTTCTTAGAATATTCTAAGTATCAAAACCTCATCCATAGATATCTTGATATGTGATCTACACTCTTGATTATCTGATTTGACTTCTCCTAATCTTAAATTAAAATAAGAACAAGGTAAGCATATGATTTTCTTTTGATGATTAAGCTTATGCTAATCTTGCTTGAACTACTCATTTGGGATTCTAATTAACATTTCTTTTTGTCAATTTAATCAATTAGTAAAACCATCTTTCATCATGTTCAAATTTAGGATTTCATGATATGCTTAATCTTTTAAATTTGATAACGACTCATTGTGTCAATCAGTACTGGAAAATTCTTAAATCGGATTTAAAAATGCATCTAAGATGGCATAACCATCATAAAATAACAACAATTAGTGTGTGCATTTTAGAAGTACATTTTCTATTGTAACTAATTAAGTGAGGAGTTTTGAAGTAACCGGCATCAAGAGGTCCGGTAGGTCCGAGGCCTCACAAAACTTATCAATCTTGGTTTTAGAATTTGAAAGTCTGATTCAAAAGAATCTCTCTTTATGGCTTGATTTGATACAATGTAACAATCATTTAATAGCGGCTTTTGTCATGGTTAGCTCTAATGAGTGTATAAGCAATGCAAGTTGACGAGAATAACTATAATTTAAGATTAAAAAGAGTAAGAGAAGATTAACATCGAATTAAGATCTCCTAGGAAGGTTTTTTATTTTTATTTTTTTTTTATAGACAACATGTGATTGAACTTACAACCCCACACAAATTTCACAAACTCAAACCTCAGTGTCACTTGACCAAGTGGTCTTAGGAGGGTTTTTAACACTTCAATACTTGAAAATAGCTCTTCAATAGCCAAAAACCAACCTAAAGAGCCATTTTGGCTCACTATGTAACGACTATAATTTTGGCTATTGGAACAATACCAGCCGACTGAAAAAAGGCCAAGTCCACTTCCTCTGTCCGTTTTCAATTGCTTTTGAAACTCCTTTTGAATGCATGCAGTTTGTAACTTTGCATCAAAATGGCTCCTAATTGTTTTAGAAATGTTTTGTAAGCTTTTCATGATTTCCGTGAATAAAAAATTCCAGTTGATCAATATAACTCGTATTCATAATGGTAATTTCTAAAATGTTAGTGTCATTTGAGCCAAAATAACTTGAGATAAAAATGTCAGTGTCATTTGGTCAATAAGGTAATCTTACAATTCATTAAAATTGAAGGAACTGAAAACAAATTTATCTAATTTTATCAAATTCCTTTTCAATCTCTCATCCCATTTCGTAAAATTAAAGTTATAGTTGAGCTCACTTTCAAGGATCAGTACTCTTGCAGTTACATTTCATAACCCCGCCCGCATCCCCGAAAAAAAAAAGAAAAAAAAAAGAAAAGAAAGACATATTTCACTAGCCATATGTCTATTCTACAGTTGAGCCAAGCTTTTTTTTGGAACTTTATGATTCTAATTTGGAGATAATAAGTAAATAAAATACCATCATGCGTTTGCTATTTTAAGATTCCCATAGCAAAACACAATAAAACAAAATCCAGAAGCAGGACTTGTATATAAATAAATTTAACTTGACATTCAATTGAAACTCCAGTCGTGGAGTACTTTTTGCTAGGGTTGTTCATGGGTTGGGTTAGTGTGGGGTATGACTTTTTCTTCTTCCGTCTTGAAGGGTGTGAGTTATACATATTTGGCCCTAACGATGTTAACAAAATTTCACAACTTAATGATGTTTGAGTTGGGTTAGGACGGTGCGGAGTTGGTTAAGTGGTCAGTTTCAACATTCAAAGAATCAAAGACTCAAAGTTCAATCAAACATTCAAAGTTCATCATCAAATAGAAATAATAACTCCAACATTCAAACAGATAGAAATTTAAAGTTCAATCCAACATCAAACATGAAGCAAAGTAGTCCATCCAACATCAAACATAAATTAGTCTACACTCATAAATTAGTCTTAACATAAAGCAAACATAGAAGCTTAATTCAAACATAAAGAAACTAGAGAGTAGAAATGAGTTGCTTGCCTATGGATAGATAATAAAGGATGTAAGTTAGAGCGCGGGTTGAGTTAGAGTGTGCAGACCATTATAGGCCCAACTCACATCCCGCCTCAAAATTTTAGACCAAACATTAAATGGCCGACAAAAAAATTTAATGCTAAAAATTATATTTTTCGAGTTGGATTGAGGTGGGATGGATTGGGCCTGCGGGTTCATGAACAGCTTTACTTTTTGCTTTAAAAATTCAATCGAAGAGATTCCACTAGATTAATGTTCAATTAGACAAATAAATAAACAAACTTTAATATTCACCAACAATGATCGTTTCCTTAATATTTAATAATTGAAACTCCTTCCATGGGGTACCTTTTTGCTTTAAAACAATAATAATCGAGAAATATCCTAGTATTGAATGGTCATCGAGACAATGAGACAATTAATACATAAACAGATATTTTGATTTTTACGTTTTGAAAGGCATAAGAAATACTATATTGTCTATAAAAAAAAAATGATTTATGACTTTTAAGGTAATCACATATTTGTTGTGCTGTGTTGGGAATTGAAGCTGATCTTGACCTCAATATTAGAAGCGGTGGTGTGGATATACTGCGTAGTCCTGCAAGGCTGCAACCACAGTAATTATACATTTTAGTTTAAAATTACAACATCTTATATCTTATTTCTTAAACATATAAATCTGCAACTCAATTTTCTTAATTAGTAGATAATGTAAAAAAAGTCAATTGTTAAAAGAAACCTCAACTGAAAGAAAAATAAATAAATAAATAAAAGAAAAATCATCAACTCAAGATCTTTGTTTTGTTATTATTCAATGACTAAAGTTGACTCTTTTTTGGAAAGAAAAAAATGAAATGTATTCTAGCTTACTCTAAATTTTAATAATTTGAACTACTACGTCCTTGTTCCAAGTCTTTTTCATATCCTCCTAATAGTATCATCTCAATAGTCACGTAAATTAACATATCACATCAATATTTAAAATATCAATACAACAAGTAAACATGCTAATAATATTATATCAATTATCACGCAAATCTATGTCATTTTTATTTTATTGATTTAAATTTAAAATTTAAATTTTATTATAGTAAAAAGTTCTTAAAAATTATAATATCTAAATTTTTTATTATAATAAAATTTTTTTACATAAAATTATATTTTAATTTAAATTAAAAATTTAAATTAACAAACTAAACAGATTCTTAATTAATTTCACCTCAATTAAAATATCATACAACAAGTAAACTGCCGAATTCAATTTTTGTTTAAAAATATTGACTTTCATGCCCTACCACACACGAAAGTGTTGTTTTCAAAACAATTAAAACATGTAAAGTTGACTCTGAACTAAGTACACCCATCTTCACTAACGAAAACTGCTAGACTGCCATTTTCACTTGTGTCCAGACTCCAGACTTGCATCTATCATCTTTAACTTTTTTTTTTTGTTTGTTTCCTTTTATAGTTATCGAGATTCAATAAATGCTGATTGACTAAACAATACTTACTTTTCAGACGCTACACAGTACATTAGATTAGAGAGAGACAGAGGATTATACACTTCTGAGCACCTCATCGGCTCCTTCTCCGATCAGCTCCCACGCGGCGATGACGTGGCGCTCTTCTGTCAGTGTGGCCCCCACTGCGAACCTCAACATATATACCCCACCGACTATGGTGTGAGTCAGGTAAGCCTTCCCGGTCGAGTTGACCCACTCCAGAAGCTTCCGATTCAGCGACTCCGTGCTACGACCCGGTGAGTCCGGGTTCAGCCGAAAACACACCAGTGCGAACAATCTCGGCACCACCACCTCGAACCTCGGGTCCGACCTCACCAGCCACTCGAATTTCTTCGCCATCCTGACGTCGGACCGGATGTGGCTTTGGAGGTTCTCGACCCCGTAGCTCCGGAGAACCAGCCATAGCCGGAGTGACTTGAATCTCCGGCCCGTCCCTACTTGCCAGTCCTTGTAGTCCACCACCGAGTCTGACTCACTGAGTTTGTTCTTCAAGTACTCGGGGTTCGTGCTCAGCGAGTTCACCAGCAGTTCTGGTTTCTTGACCCAGAGGCAACAGCAGTCGAGGTAGCTGAGTAGCCACTTGTGTGGGCTCAGACTCAGCGAGTCAACTCGCTCCACGCCGTTGAAATAGTGCCGGAATTCAGGGCAGATGCAGGCGCTCCCGCCGTACGCGGCGTCCACATGGAACCACATCCCGTAATCCCTTGCCACGTCGGCGAGCGGCTCGAGTGGGTCCACGGCGGTGGTTGAGGTTGTCCCCACCGTAGCGCAGAGGTAGAGCGGGACCAGCCCCTCCGCCACGTCTTCCCGCACGGCCTCGCGGAGCGCCACGGGGCAGAGACAGAATCCAGCGTCGATGCTCGTCTGGATCGACCGAATGTTTCTCGGGTGTATTCCCGCCATCTTCGACGCCTTCGTGAACGTCGAATGGGTCTGGTCGGAGCAGTAAACGACGAGATTTCGCGTGTCGTCGGTGCTGATTCTCTCTAGGGCTTTGTCCCTCGCAGCGATGAGAGTGACAAGAACGGCCTCACTCGTGGTGTTCTGGATCACGCCGCCGCCGGATCCGGCGAACGTGAAGCATTTTGGGAGCTTGAGCATGTTGGCTAGCCAGTCCATGACGATCATCTCGAGCTCGGTCACGGCAGGAGACGATAGCCAGTTGAAGCCGACGGAGTTGAAGCCAGTGCAGAGCATTTCACCGAGGAAAGCGGCGGTGCTGACGGTGGCGGGAAAGAATGCGAAGAATTTAGGGCTGAGCCAATGGGTCATGCCGGGAATGATGTGGCGGTTAATGTCGTTGAAGATGGTTTCGAGTGGCTCGGGGCGATACGGTGCGTTTTGGGGTATCCGGGTTCTGAGGTAACCCGGTTGGACTTGGGCTAGGACCGGGTAGGACTCGATTTTAGCGTAGTAATCGGCTATAAAGTCAACCATTTGGTGAGCTTGTTTGCGGAACTCTTCAGGGTCTAAGGGCTTGAATTGTTGTTGATCAACATGATCAGTTTGGGGAAATGGAGCTGAGTCGTCATAGCTAAAACCAAGGCTACCCATTGCGAGAATAATGGTGGTGTTGGTCAATCTGTTTGAGGGAAAAAATAAATAAATAATGGTTTTGAAATGTTTGAGAGCAAATATATGTATAGATAATATTAATGGTGGGGCGAGTGACAAATGTGAATGTGATCACATAATTTATAAGAGGAGGTGTGTCAATGTGTGCATGTGGGACAAAATTTAGATGCCGGGAAAGGGTAGCTATGCTATTGACGTATTCTATTCATTGTGCATGGTTTAATTTTGGCGGTTAGGACGGTAGTGTTATATTGAGGTGTTGATTACGTTCATTATTGTCATAAAGTGATCGATCTTTCACATTGACTATTGGTGCAAATTGGTATTAACTCATCAAATCGATAACGAGAGTAAATTGTGTTATTGCTTCTTAAACTTTTTTTTTTTTTTTTTTGTTTGCAAAATACACCTCAAATTTATAATTTTAACAAATTACACTCTATACTTTCAAATCAATTACAATTGAGGTTTAATACCTCGTTATCAAATTGAAGATTTGATACATGAGATTTGCATGTATAAAGCAAAGCTTGTCATTTTTCAAAGAAGAATTACGTGCTAATCATGTGTCCCAAACCACTATTTTCATAATGTTCGACGTCAGCTATCAAACTTCAATTGTGGCTGATTTAAAAACTCTTAATGCAATTTGTCAAAATTAAAAGTTTAGATAATATTATGCAAAAGACAAAATAAAATAAAATAGAATAAAATAGGATGCAACCTTATACTTTAATAATAACGTCGGTGAGGTTGACAACTAACCAAATGATATTATTCCAAAAATCTTGCTTAATTTGGGTATCAGCTCTAAAGCTCCTACTTATGTCGTTGAGAACTCCTAGTTAGTCAATCTTGCACTACTTTAAACTAATTAAATTAGACCTTGAGCCAACTAGAAAAATTATTCATATTGTAAAGGACATGTAATGGCGTCTTTATGTGAGGTTATCAAGAGATTGAAATTAAGTTAATTAATTGGCCAACACTGAAACATAATGATGCCATCATCGTCATTAGAAACTTTTAAGATGGTATTTTGTGTATTAATTAGTTGGACACAACTAATTGATTAGAGACTGATCAGGATCAGCAAAAAATTACTCCCGACTATATATCTGTCGGGTAGACTTTGACTTCTTATTGGGATAAATAAACAAATAGAAACACGAACTATTCGAATCTAGCAAAGTTATGTATAACGCATGCAGATGAGGTCTATTTCATGCACGTTTTAATTTCTAAGAGTACAGTTTAAGTATATTAGTGTCTAATAATCCATGCACGGACGTTGAATTTTCAACAGATCTCTAGCCAGGCGCTACAGTTTTCATACTGTGTAAGTTTCAATAATTATATACTTGCGATATAATTTATGAAATAAGAGATACGAAAACTGTGGTGTTCACAATTAGACTTTACGGATTGTTTGTTTGTTTGTTTGGTAAACTATGACACAAGTCAAAACTGGAGGAAGCAAATAGACAAAATAAGGACTTCATATATATGCCCACTACTATTATGAAAAAAGTTGACAAGTACTACACTCGAAGACCAGATCGCAACAACAAACTACACGAAGGTTAATCAATTAAATGCACTTGTGCATGTGGTAGCTCATAGCACTGTCTACGGGGTGGGTTGGCCGATGGAACATTAATGCAATAGAGTCGTGTAATGTAGTGTACGTGGGACCAATAATATATACAGAACAATATATAGATATCTTATATAAAACATTGAAATTGACCTAAGAGAATTCCTGTAAAGTAACTAATTATAAGCAATTCTACGCATTTTGAGCGTATAATAGATATATAAAAGATTTCACCGATTCAATTTTAGAATTCGAATTTTGTTACAGTAAAAGGCTCTCAGAAACAGTCGCGTCTAATTTTTTTACTACAGTAAAAAACTCTTATATAAAGTCACATCTTAATTCGAATTAAAAACTCGAATCAACGAACTAAACAGGCCATTAGATTTTTTTTAAGAGATCAGTTCCAATAAAAGTAACTAATAATATGCGCATTTTGAACAATCTAATGTCTAATCAAAATTAGGAAATTCTCCATGGACGGAAAATGCTCAGAAAACATATTCCAGGCTAACGATCGATTTCCACTTTCAGACAAGGATTTTGGTTATAAACTAATGCATGTTATTTTTAGTCATCTCGATCACCATTCACATGAAAATTTCTCAACTTAGATTTATTAAAACGAACAATTTTATGTTGTACAACTAAGATTTATGATTAGTCATTTAAAAAAAAAAACTATTTATAATTTTTTGTTTTAATCTGCGTTCTTTACTACTGATTTGATCACCTTGACTGTGAGGACACCTCTTAAGGCGTTCCTGATATTGGATCATGATGTGGCTAATAGGTAACCACAATCATATATATTGTATATGTGTGTGTTAAATATAATATATATATATATATATATATATATTGCACTCAATAATACTTTGGCACTCCTTGAAATTAACTTAAACGATGGAGGATCTTTAGCCAACATAGTGTTTTTAGAAGATATCGAGTCCAAATCCGCTGTCTCTATTTTCTTGTCTCGATAGTCGTCCATTCACTAATTATTTATCATATCATCTAAATTTAAGAATCTAACTATATAAATAATAACAAATACTGAAAATACTTAAACAATTAAAGAGGTGTTAAAATTTAATTGGAGGGACATATAACCACCGAAATAAGAGAACGGGACAACAGATGTTGATTCTCAAATATCTACTTTGGCTACTTTTCTATTTTGCATATACGAGGTCTCATGTGAGTGAGTTTTCACCCCCAAAAAAATAAGAATAATTCAAATGATGAGTAGTTGTAGATTTACTTTAACGTAATTTTACACCCATCTCTAATGTTGAATTAATTGTAGATTTTAATCAACGCTCCACATTTCTATAATATTTATATAAAATATTCAAAACGGTATTTGTAGAAAAGTTACTATTTAATTAATTTCTGGAGTATCGTTACGGATATATGCTTTAGAACGATCCAACTCATGATTGTTCCGCACTCAATTCTATTATGCATATTGTGTTGTATATAAACATTTCTCAAGTGGCGAGCGGCGAGAAATCGAGCTTTCTCTAGTTGCCTGGTACGGTGCTGTCAAGTCTCTATTTTTTTACTCTTTCTTAACGTAAGTTATATATCTTGTAATAAACACATTGTTAACTTGTAGAAACTAATTAATTACTTTCACGATTTATTATCTTATGCAGAGAATTTTGCAAATCGATTAGAGAAGTCTAGAAAATACAAAGACCAGTTATGAGGTGTGCGATTTTTCTCTTCAAACTTTTCTGTAATAATAGAAAAAAAAAAAAACTACAACAGTTGAAAAATAACGTAGTCTTATATAAAGGCGAACCTTTATAAATTCTATGTGTCAATTTTACTTGATTTATTTTTCTACAAATTTATTACTCTCGGTTACTTGGAATTAGAGCATTTAATTCTTGACATACATAATTATTCGGTCTTGAATAGAAGATGAGGAAATCATTCAGCAAAATATCAGAATGCCTTAGTGCGGAAAACAAACATTTGGGAATGTTTACTTTAAATGAAATTGTAGATAACGTTACTTTAAAAATTGTCTACAATTTCATTTTATTATGAAAATGTCTAAAAGTACACCACTAATGAGGAGAATATAAAAATTACAATTTTATGATAATGATGTATGGTTAAAAATTTAAAATGTAGCAATGTTTGTGTAAAATAAAAATAGTCATACCATAAAGATTATAATTTTATGAATTGTTCATTATCATAATCTATAAAATTGAAGAACAAAAAATTCTATATATGATAACCAATGAACAAGAGCATATAAATTACAAGTTTATGACAAGTAAATAGGATTAAAAATGTGAAAAGATTGATAACATTTATGTACAACTTACAAATTTGATCATTGTCTTCAAGATTGCCGCTTTATTAAGGTTATAAAAAGATGGACCGCTATTAAAATGCTGTTTCAGCACATGGATAAAATAAATATTACAAAAAATTATTTTTGGAGATAGACAAAGTAATGACATATAATATTATAAAGATGGACCGGTATTAAAATGTTGTTTCAGCACATTGACAAAATATATCTTACAATTTTTTTTTTTTTTTTTTTTTTTTGCGGACAAAAAAGTATTTTTTAGAGCTAAAGTAATAATATATAATATTATAAAAAGAGGGACCGCATTTATAATATTGTTGTTAAAATACAAGGCGAATGTGAAAATAGGCCACAGGCCGCTCCGGCTGCTTCAACATATTTCACATATTTGGTGAGCTTTTATGGCTTACATACCAGTTATTAATACACATTAATTAATGAAGGTTTGCAAATGGAAAATTTTGGGGAAAATGTAGATATATGTCAATATAAGTGGACCATAATGTCTATTATTAATGTAGCGGAAATGATGTCCGGATATCAAAAAAATATTTGGATTTGATCCTCCGACTAAATTGCGAAGACACTTTCTTAGGTGTATTATTATTATTTTTTTGTTTTGTTGAAGTTTTCTTAGGAGTATTGTTTAATTATCTGTTTTTTTATAAATATTTTATTTACTTTGCAACTTCGTTACATTATCGAAATATAGGACTCGTCATAATCTTAGTAGCTCATCTAACATGCGTCTTTGCACTTTAATTATCGTCTTTTTCATGATTGAAATTTTCTTTTAAGAAATTACATATATGATGGATGCCGAGATTACTTTGGCTATTGTACAGGATATTCAATTATTTCCTAATGTACAATTTTTTTTACGCTACCCCAATTTCCATGCAACTCTTTCTGTCAATCAAAATTTGAAATTTAACTATCTGGAAATTTCACCCTGATTTGAAATTTAACCTAAAACTGTTTTGGCTGATTAATTTATCTTTTTTCTTAACGATAAAGAAATTTAACCCTAAAATTGAGAGTTTGTTTTAGGATTTAAAGATTGAGAGGGAGAAAGAAAAATTGAGAAATAAAAGAGGAAATGGATATTTTTAGATCATGAATATTGGTCGTTGTGTTAACAAAAAAAGAAAAGATTGCTGGCTAACTATGGCAATAAATCCAACCCCACCATTAATATCGTTACTGTCCGTTTCCACCATGTATGGATGCAAACTGCAGGCTATTGGTATGACACGATTTTAAATCATCAGAGGATATCAAAATTATATCGAAGTAAGAAAATGTGACAATTTAAC